TGTCTAAATTTGTGCAAAATAAAAAAACAAGTATCTTTGTGAAAAATGTTCTGAATGTAAATTTTATAGTAAATTACAGTTTTGGTCATTATGGTTGACACTTGTTTAGTCCAAGTTTTGAAAAATTGGTATGGATAATCCTCATGTTTATCATTTAATTTTCTTGTTTTTAGTATTACAATTTAATTCCATGTATGTATAGCATATTTTTTTGTACGACTAATTCACACTCCTAATCTACTTCTAAATCTAGAGTTGAACCCTCAAACTATTTTGTTGACGGATCCTTTCCAACAACTCCTTATATCACTACCGTCATATGCTATTTGGTGATATATAAGATAATTCCAAAGCTGTTCTAGCAAAACTGAAGAGCTTTTGTATTAATTTGCACATGTTAATTATCATATTAAATAAATCTTAAATCAGATTTCCACTCAAACAGTTTATATTTTTTTGATGAGATGAAGAATCAAATACAACAACGAAACCTTTGACACCATAAAGACGGATGATTAATGTTTACTCCGGCACAAACTTCTAAACTTCTGACCTCATCAACCTGCATACGATTGTAGATTGTATAGTTGGTTGTTGTTTTACTGAACATCTTTGAAAAAATTATGGCATGTATGATTATAATAATGTCCAAAATCATTTGTATTATGAGATTTTATTCAAATCAAATGCTAGGAAATCGCCCGTGTTTTGTGGTCCAATATTCTGCATACCTGTCATTATCATTTTTTTCGGGAACCACAAATATTTTTCACTGATATTATTATCATAGATAACCTATCATGCAGGTTACATATCCCCATTCTATTGGAATTAATTTTGAACACCCACAAAGACTCGACTTTTGATCGTGGAAAATTTTAAATAATGACAACAATGTGGTATGTCTTTACATATTTGTTTGACAACATCGTTGGAAATTTTTGTTTGAAGTGGTATAATGACAAGAATATTGGAAAATATCAACTTTACATGGAAGTTTTTAAATAATGACGTACACAATGTACAATAATGAAGACAAATACAGTGGGGGCTCCAACAAACGTCTAGAATGGGCAATAAGATATTTACAGAATATAAACAATTAAATACTATAAGACCGCTGAAAAATTATGTATTATTAATTTTACTTAAAAAGTAAATTAAAAGGTGTTTGGGATTTACTTATTAAATCGACTTTTTTTTAGAAATGATTATTAGTTTATCTGGTGTCAAAAGAGAATCTAAAAGAAAATTGGATTTGCTTATTTGGTACCAAAAAGTAATAAGTTGATAAGTTATTTTGTAGTGTTTGATAAATTTTGCTTAAGTGATAAAATCAATAAATATGAAGTAACTTATCAAAAACTCATTTTTAAGACAATAAGTGTTTTTAATGTTCTTATATCCAAAAACTAAACTTGCTTATTACGGGTACCAAACCGCAATAAATCAATAACCACTTCAAATAAGCAATCCCAAACAACTCATATATTATTAATTTTCCTTAAAAGTTAATCAAGTCATAAATAAACGTCAACAAACTAACCTAAAGATTTTCGTCCCATGGTTTAAATAAACCGGTTAAAATGGGCTACAAACTGGTTATGGAGGGTCTACTGATTACAACAGTTATAACATTAACATTACGAAGTCCGACCTATTAATAGACGAGTTGGTGATGCATAAACCGGGCTCTCAACCGGTTATAGTTGGTCCTTGCCTAGGTCCGATGTATCGTAATATGTTATGGGTCGATATGTTGTAACATGTTATGGGTTCGATGTACCGTAACAGGTTATGGGTCTAGTCCCAAAAAAGATATAATGGGTATAAGTTATAACGAGTCCTTAACCTCGTTTATCACTCTTTGGTTATCCGTTCACGAGTCAGGACTTATTAAACCGCTTTTTTTGTAAGGTAATTAAAATGTCTTCATCTTAGTCCTCTTCGTCTTGACTAAATCCCACATTTTAATGGCACCTTGTCCAATTATGTCCAAGATATAACATCTTTCTTAATGATATCTCGATAGAAGGTTTTTGATTTAGTTTCTACAAATGCAGATGTGAAAGTGTTCGAACGACATCCAATCTTGTATGAATTTGTATAATTTATTTAGTTTAAGACTTTAACTTGAAAAAAAAGAATTTCAAAATCATCATATTTTGGTCCTAAACTTTCATTTCTTAATTTCCTAGTTTATATAGCGAATATATATACCATGAACTAGACAAAGAGTGTTTTCTTATAAATCTTAAAGAAAAGGCACATACTTGAGTTTTGATATAACATCAAATATGCTATTGGATAGGCATATGTCTTGCGATAGATTTAAAGTCTCCATGCAAGCTACAATGCGATTTATGGCATAATTTGCAACCATATAAAATTTGTTATTAATGAATATAACATGTATTGTTCCTTAGCCTTTTGATTCGAGATAAGAATTCAGCAAAGAGGTTGATCTTGTTGTGGAGAGTTTCACATTGTGGAATGTTAAAAATTGAGTCTTTTTTATGTCTTTGTATTCTTGGTTATTGCTCTGTATTTACACGATTGGCATACACCAGTTCTCTCCGCCTCCTAAAATCGGTTCATGGTTAGTTTTGTATACATGTTCGATTAAGTTTAAGTATTATGTGCCTGTTTGTTTGAGTATGGAGTATGAGTTGCTTATGGCACTCCGCAGGAGCAGGATGCCGTAATATGGCAGTCGACAAGAGCAAGCTTCTTATAGCAATCCGCGTAAGCAAGGCTACTTATAGAAATAAGCAACCAACATTGCTTAAGTGGTCAACAAGTGCTCGAGCAGCAGGGCGGGTTTCCTTAAAGAGAATGGTTTGACCCGCACGTTCAGTGGGGGCAGTTTTGTTAGTGTTGACTTCGTCCCATGATGTTTTATGAGCCCATTATTATTAGGTTAGCCTCTCTAAATAGTCTCATTTACTGTAACCTTAATGTACTGTAAGAAAAAAGCATTTTACTATAGGAAATAATAAATCTCTCTCTCTCTCTCTCTCTCTCTCTCTCTCTCGCTCTCTTTCTCTCTCTCTCTCTCATGTTTGTCATGGACGTAGCTGATCATCCTAATCGTGTGAACCACGTAAATTGATTGTGTCTTCTTCTTTTGATTTTGTATTTAATTGTATGAACCACATAAATTGATTGTGTCTTGTTCTTTTGATTTTGTATTTATTAATCTGGTGACATCGTTTATATTTTGTCGAAATATTGTTTTAACCTAAAGCTGTTAAGGGTCTATTTTACGTACCTCATGCAATTACAACAATATAAAAAAATGTATTTAGGAATCAAATGATTAAATTGTGAAAATGTCGGAATGACTATTATTTGGTAACATATTTATACTACTATTTTATAGAATCACCCGCAAGAAATATAACTCTACAATAAAAAGGTGGGGGTTCCTAGAAAATGTCTTGAAAATAGTTTTTTCCTGAAGGATTTTATTTTGTCGGAAAAACCACTACTAGAAAAACAGTCTTTTACGACGCGCAATGCGTGTCGTAAAACGCTCGGACGACGCGCAAATGCGTGTCAACGAAGGCCCTGTCATAACGAGGGACGACACGCTTTTGCGCGTCGTGTATTTACGATGCGTATTTACGACGTGCATTTATGACACGCATTTACGACGCGCAGTTATGACACGCAATGCGTATCAAGGAAGGCCCTGTCATAAAGGAAGACGACACGCATTTGCGTGTCATAACCTGACGACGTGCGTGTTTATGACACGCAATGCGTATCAAGGAAGCCCCTGTCAAGAAAAGCCATGTCATAAATGAAGATGACACACATTTTTGCGTATCGTAATTTTAAATGTTTAAAAAAAATATTATTTATAGATTTATTAATATGCAAATTCAATTTTCAATTAATGTCTCATAATAGAAAATAAAACATCATATACAAAAAATACAATCCATTGCATAAAATTTAATGTCATACAAATAATCGTCCCATGGAAAGATAAAACAAATCAATAGAAGTTGTAACAGAAATTTTCAAACTAATTAGATACAAGAAATATGAAAAACTTGAAATCCCTGAGATTAATAGTTCTAACAGAAGCTTCACGTGAGATACATACAGTTGGACCAGTAAGAAAGGATGTTCCTGAATCCACAATAGCAGCACAAGAACACGTACGCAATATCTTCTGCTAGAAGGTGTCGATCCAAAACTACTGTTGAAGGTTATCATGATAGTTGTTAAGATTTAAGCATATATAACAAGAAACCAATCAGTGACTATTAGAAGTTAGATAGCGACAAATCCAATTTAAATAGACGAATGAGAAACAATGGACTTTAAAAACTTACATTTAAGAGGATGATCAAAGGCTTCATGGTATGAAAATGATACATATACACACATGTTGGTACCAGCTCACGGTGCTCTAATTCCTCAATAGATATGACTGTGCTTGTATCCGTGTGAACCGTTGAATCATCTCCATATATGCCTAAACGCCTTCTCCTTCTCCTTGCATCCTTTCCCTATCCATGGAATTAATGATGCCTTGTAATTTGTACCCATCTGTGTACATCAATACACTGTTCATGAATATTGTATCCCACATCAGTGCGACATTGTCATATAAGTGTCTATATATGTCGGAATGTTGGAGTCTCCCACATCTTTTTGGATATTTTTATGAAAAAATCGTACTTGGGTAACTAGGGCATAGAGTGGTAGGATGCCATAGATGCATAAGAATTGGCCCACAAACCTGGATAATGGAAACAAGAGAGAAGAATATTGAGAGGTTTAATTTTGTATGAGATCCGTGTCAAAATTGAAAGGAACTTTATTCAAACCCTAAAAACAGGCGTATGTACACGAGCATGTGGTTCTTGATGAAAAAAGAATTATAACCGAATTGCCACTGGAATAACAAAAGTGCATAGTTGATGTATAAATATATGTTTTAGGGGATTAAGTAGAAGAAATTACCCAGAACCAAAAAAAAGAAGCTAGCTCAAACGCGTTTTGCATACGAATTTATCCTGAGTTATGAAGTTGTGTTATTAGCCCTAAAAACAAACACTTGATGAAAATGAATAATCAAATGGAAGGAAACTACACAAACCTGGAAAAGAATAAAATGGATTAAGTTGAGCAAAAGTTCTGGCTTTTTAAACCAAAAGATTTCATCTCGAGGCTTTAACCTTCTTTCAGCAAAGAAGCCTCCTGTATTTGCATCACTTTCAAGTGCCAAAGTAGCAATAACATGTTGCAGTTTTGTCCCTACAAGCAAAACAAGCTGAATAAACACACACACACACACACAGTTAGAATATGAAAAAAGCCAATAGCTAACAATGATAAAAGTGACTTCTTAAAGTAATAGGAATGATAGCAATCCAAAAATAAAGATTCGATCCTGCAAGCAAGGTACAATTATTTAGTTCATCTATGCAAAAGACGTGAACGCCCTCACCATTGAAAATTACCCTAGAAAGCTTGTTCAGTGTAAAATTAATACCTTTTATGTTATAGAGCATAAAGGCCACCACAAATCCCCAAAGTGGACCACTGCAAGGAATCAAGAAAGCAACTTTATATTAATGAAAAAGAGTATGAAATAAAAAAAAATTACTACAAATGTGATAGAAATATAGAATGAAAGTTCCTTACCTTCATCCAACTATTCTCTGAAATTCTTCTTCCATGGATCGAATCATATAAGTGTGAAAATCATATTTTGAGGTGAGGTTGTAGTTCTGCCAAGAGCAAGAAAAACAAACAACTGTGAACAATAATTTCAAGGTACAAGATTCAAAAATAAAGTTTATGGCATAATTTGAACACCTATATTGCAATTCAATTAAGTGGACTCAACTTAATATATTACAAAGTTAAAGGTGTACTACAGAAAAATACGATTTAAACAACTTAGCATAAGTTAAGGTTTCATACCATGATGAAGGCTTTACCCAGAGTAAGGTAATCTGCACGAACAACAGAACGCCCAAATTGTCTAAAAAAACATATTTGTAAACCAATTTAAACAAAATATATATGGATCATAGTCAATGTAACTAATTTCTTGTAAGTTATAATAATTGTTAATGGGAAAATAAGGATATAAAAATGTAATGTACTTACCATCCAAGTAACTAAACCATTTGTAAGCAAAGTACTGGATGAGTGGAATTTGACCATAGTTGACTGCCTCGGCATTGTCTCATCTCATGATATTTCTGCACAAGTAAACAAGTTTTTACTAAATAACATCAGCTAATATGATTAAAAACAAAAACAATTATTATATTCAAGAATGATTATTAATTAGATATATAAGTACAAGTGTATAATACCAGTTAGCACATTATGTCTATCCACTTGAGCCTCATCTTCCCATCTCCTCCAACTATGGATCTGACAAAATTACACCAATGCACTTACTTACTTTGATAATTAATAATCCGCTTCACAAATGGCAACAAACACAACACTTGTATGAACATGTCCATAATTTTCCGCCACATGCACTCGCTGCGAAAAAAAATAAAAAAAATAAAAAAAATAAAAAAAATAAAAAAGTTGACTAGCTGAACAAAGGCATGGTATTAGTAACCATAACCTACCTGCACTCCGTGAACTTCAATCTCAAATTTAAGCTTTCTTTAAATATAGGTAGAAATGATAGATACATATTCAAGGACGAACAACATGTTTGTAGACTATAATAAGGTAACATCTGTGCTCCCTTGATTCCTAACTACAATATAGGATTGTGGATATCAGTTTGAGATTTAATTATTAAATATAAATATATAATTTCAACATAAGAAGAAAGGGTATACTCATAAAAAACATGTCAAACCATGGATTAAAACAAGTCTTGCTCCAGGTTCTCGAACGAAATCCCTACCTTTCTCATAATATCATTCAAGGATAAAAACGTTCAATTTTAGGTTATATTTTTTTGGGTTTTGATTTGGAAATTGGTTTAATTTTAGCGTTTAAGATGAAGGAGATAAAGACAAGGGTAAAATAGCCATTTTAGACTTACACTTTAGGGATCATCTGTGCAACAAATCAAACATCTAGAAAAAAACCATAACTTTTGACATACCACAGGGATGAAAGCTGTAATTTAGTTAAAACAAATATTAATTCATATAATTTTGTTTTACAGGTTGATATTGATTTTGAAAAAGAACCCATTGGAGATGGGAAAGATGGAAAGAATTTTTAGTTTAAAATAGTACTTGCGTTACATTGTAATTCCATCCAGAATCAAGTTTTAAACTAGTTTTACCTTTGGCAGCAAGTAAATCGACATGTAGAGGCAATTGATTATTGATAGACCTTCAAAAAAATATCCACAGAAAATTAGCTTATTAAATATAATTATGAATTCCATACATTTAAATAATGATCTATTTTTAAATAAAGTGATCTATAGGTGTTTGGATGTGCAATGTAATATAATAATATTCAATAATTGGAATCATATAACATGGGGCAATGTTTTAAACCGTAATTACTTATCATTTTCAAAGGTGATGAATATTGGTAAATTTTTCGTTATTTGAGGGGTATATGAGTAATTTCACTGACTATTTAAACCTTAGTTGAAAAATACTCATAAATTACCCGAACATTGCAATCTTCTTTTAAAATACACATCCAAACATTATAATATTGTCCAAAATACATGTCCAAACACCATAGAAGTGTAACCATTTTGAATAATTTTTGACCATTTTAAATTCATATATTTACGTAAATGGGTAGAAATTTATTAAGTATAAATAGTAACTAACACATCAAAATCAACAAGCAATTGGGATTGATCTGTTACCTCTCTTTCATTACAGATGGGAATCTGAACAAGTACCATGTGGAAACTGGAAGCATCTTCAATTTCATAAGCTTCACCATCAATTGTTGGTTTTATGCTATTGAACTTGATCCAACAAGCATTCACCAGCAGCCAATTAACCTCTGCAGACATGGATACAAAAGTACAAAATCACTATGAACTCCAAAATATAAAAGTAAATTACTAATTACTAAGAAATAAATAACATCAACATTAACAAAAAGGAAAAAAATCAACCAAATTGGTGTCCTTCATCTATGATCCAATCTTGCAAAATGACTTAACAACATTCTCCCTCACACAGGTTTCTACATTGAAAACAAGAAAATATTAGAGACATTCATATCAATGAGGATCTCAAATAGCTTTCATCTTTTAAAGTACTAGTTTTAGACTCATGTGGCATAAGAATTAAAAAGACCCTTCCATAAACTAATTAGTTGTAGTTAGTTCATTAAAGGTCTCTTTCATCCCTGAGATAGATTAACATACATCAAAAGCTATAATTGACTTAGGCATTTTGTCAAACATATGGAAGGCATAAATGATTTTAACCAATCTTCATCATAATACATGCATATATCGTGATAGTATTTCTAAAACTTATGTAATAAAAAAACTACACAAAAAATCTACAAATGATAACATACTTTACTATCACTACTAGAAATAGGGGTTTTAGAGACGGACGAATCCGTCGCTATTCCGTCGCTAAATGTTGTTTGCGATGGATCAGCGACAGATTTACTCCATAGGTAATTAAAAGGTGGCTAATGACTCAGCAAGGGTTTTAGCGACGGATCGGTTTTTCCTTGCGACAAATTTAGCGATAGAATATCCGTCGCTAAGTGACACTCAATACATTTACCCAGGACATTAGCGACAAAATTTGTTAAAGACATTCCGTCGCTGTTATGTCGCAAATTTCCCTGATCAGTTTTTTTTCCGTAGCTAATCCCTTGCAAAGTTCATATACTAAATTTTTTTTTTCCGTCGCTGATCTGTCGCAAACTTCAGACATGATTTTTTTCCATAGCTAATCCCTCGCAAAATTCATAAATTAATTTTGTTCTTTTTCCGTCGCTGATCCATCGCAAACTTTAGACATGATTTTTTTTCCGTAGCTAATCCCTCACAAAATTCATGCATTATTATTATTATTATTTTGTCACTAATCCGTCGCGAACTTGTAATATCATTTTTTTTTATTATGATTCTAAAAGAAAAAATACTACAATCATCAAATTATTATACTAAAAAACATCAAATAATGATACAACCAAACATTATAATACAAAAACTATCAAAGTTACCAAAGTATCATGTTTCATATCATACTTAGCTTCATATAACTCAACCCATGAACATATAGTTGTATACCCTTGCTTACATACGTGCTCTAGAACCCGTATTTATAGGTGCACTCTGCAAAAGAACACCAATATATAGCTTATGTCCCATTAAGTCCATTAAGTAAAAAATATTGAGGATAAAAAAGTAAACTCACCAATGGGACACCATTCATGGCTCTTTCTTCCAAGAATCTTGATGGTTTATAAAAGTTGCCATATTTTTCAAACCATTTTTTCAGACTTGTATATATGTGTTTACTCTCAACAACATCTGCCCAAAAAACAATGCCACCACTGCAACACATTGTGAAAATGTAAATGCAAAATACATTTTTTTTATCTAAAATTGTTTATTCTTGCAAACTATATTGCTATTTTTCAATTATAAACATACCGATATGAAGGAAAACTCATCCCAAGAACAAATGCAATGTCAAGATCGGATGCTTTAACAACAATTTTTTCCTCTAAAACACGACATGCTTCATTCACCACAGGAAACAGCACCATCTCTACTATTTCTTCATCAGTCATGGCTACAGTCTACACAGATAAAACACAAAATGACAAAATTGCCCTTAGTATGTCCCAAGGGTACAAATGGGTTACCTTTCCTTGTGGCATAAGATTGGCTACCCTTCTTGACTCTTCTATAACTAGTAACACCATATTATCAGGTTTTGGTTTGCTACCTTTTTCATACACATAATACCCTTTTCCATTGTTTTTACCTGAAAAAGCCATGTCATTTAAACACATGATTGAAAGACAACACGAAAATGAAAATTAGTAAATTACCATTTTGCCCATTTTTAGTAAGAAGGTCAACTACAGGAGAGATGAAAGTGCGATCAGGAAAAGCAGTGGCGAATTCTTTCGACACAACAACTGCTAAATCATATCCTGTCAAGTCTTCAAACTATCATCTAATTCTCAATTAACCTGTTAAATTCAACTAGCATAAAAACAATGTCTATTCACCAAAAGATATACAAAAACAGTGTCTATTCTTATATGATCAGCAAAAGATATTAAAAAAAACATAACAGAGCAGAGCGTACCAGCTGATCTACACCACTTTCACCAGGAAAAAGAGGCTGTAAATGTCCAAAACTCATAAAGATCAGCAAAAGCAATAGAAGTCTGGAAGCAAAAACACTTACAATCGTGAGCCCAATCGATTCTTTGTTGATTAAAGGCAGGAAACTTGAGCATTCGCTGTTTAAAGGAAAGGAACTCAGTGTGTTAGATTAAGTATGCAAGGTCTTAAATTGTTAGAAGAATTTCTACCCATTTAACTTGGGAAATTCAGATTTGATAGTGGAATTGCAATGGCTTGAAACTGCGGGTAATACACATATTAATTGGAAGACATAAGTGATGAAATTTCTAATATAAAATTATCATTATTATTAAGTGATTTACATGTCAAAAACCCATCCCCAAAATCAAATACAAATTTCACACATCAAGGGCTCAAGGACACCTTAAAGTTCAAATTTACCCATCTAATTATTTATCTTTCAGACAACATAGATCAGGACATACCATCAGGATAGAAATCAAGAATATTCGAATCATCACTTGTCATGAGTGATCGATATGGAGGCGGAAGTGCATGGGCACTACATGAGCACATATATATTAGATAATACCATGAACAAAAACCAATCAACCAACATAACCATGTTTCTAAAAGGAAATTTAAGAGCATACCTAGTAGGAGGGAGAACAGACATAAGATGATCGAATGGTTTAAAAGGTGATCCTATCTGAAACATAACTTTAGTACTTGAAAGACCTTTAAAATCTGATGCAAATGGCCCATAATGGAATGGGTAAAACCATGTCCATGACGCAACCCCGGAGAAGTAATATAGCAAAACCCAACACAAGCCTTCGGTGTATTTTTCGACCTACAAGGAATGAAAAGAACGTGTATGAAATAAAGCAGATCCAATATTTGATAATAAATGCGCTTAGTAAAATAAAATAGTTGATGTGGCATATATATACATACCACTTCTTTCCTCGTATTTTCCATATCCGCTTCCGTTTCAGCAGAAAACTTGTATTTGTAATACCGTTTTCTCCACCCAGGAGTACCCAGTTTCACCTGACAAAATTTAGTTTAACCGCTGCTTAGTTGTGGTAATCTACAGCCTGAAAAGAAGGAAAGCTCACAACAACGGTGCATACCATGTCTGAAAGAAGACCGTTTCTGAAAACATCCGATATCTCACGATTGTAAGATTTTAATTGTTCCTTCAATGCTTTTGTCTTCTCGATCATCTGAGCAGCTTTTGTATTCTCGGCCATCTGAGCAAACAAGAAAAAGACATGTCATATAGCTCAAATATATGATTTGGAAAGATACAAAAATGATAGAGAAAGAAAGTAGGGATCAACAATACATCATACTTGCACATCATGATCAGGTAATTTTTCGGTGTATGGTGAACAAACATCAGAACCAACAGACGAACCCTTCTGATTATGAGTACTTATCACAGGAAACAACTCCTCTTCTCTATTACCACTCTAGACAAAAGATTAATTGCAAAAGTATGTTTATGAATTTGTAAGGAAATTAAAAATAAAGAAATCGTCGAAGTTTGCTTTCACAGATTGCTGATCTCTTCTTGAAAATCTGATCTTCGTATGCGCCCACTGCAAGGATGAACTTTTCAACCCTTTTTAGTTTGATGTACCCTCCTTTCTTATCATACACCTGTTTCCATTTTTCAAAAATTCAAAACCATAGAAACTAATGCTATATACATCGTCAAGAATGAGTCTTATAGATCAAAAATAGACTCTTCTAGGGTCATGGATGAGAAACTAAAGTTTTTATTTACATTAATTCCACCACTAATTACCTTTTCCATATTCACAAGATACCCTCCAAGGTTCTTGAACTCTTGCTTGTACACATGAATCAATAAATTAATACCACCCTGATCAAGAATGATAAAAATTTAGAATTTGGATTTTCGACCACAAAAGCCACAATGATTTAGTTGTTTCGTGAACATTTCAATACACTTTTTTGGTAAACCCTTAGAAAATTTTCATCTTTGTACTTTTTCATCATCACAAAATTTCTTGAAACGGAACTAAAAGGAAAAAGCATTCAAACCTCATGAATTCCAAGGTTGGCATATGCGGAAGAAAATCATTTCCACCGAAAAAGCATATGAATATGAAATCGTCAATCAGTCGTTCAATATCATATTCAAATTTTTCAGGCAGATTTGTGGATCTCAAATCAAGGTTAAGATATTCTCTCAGTATCCAAACATGAAGAAACTGCAGTAAAAAGACACAATAAAACTAACATTAGAAGTACATACAGCATAGATACCAATTCCTAGCTCATGTTTAATCCATCATGCACATTTGACTCCTTAATTACCTGATGCGGCTTCCTCACAAACCACTTTGGCTTTCCAGCAGCTGTAATATCAAGGCTGTTCATCTGTTGACTTATATCAACTTTATCACGGTTCAGGTCAAACTAGCAGAAGCACAGGAAAAACGGATTAGCCTGTATTAACAAGGAATTAAAAGAAAGTAAAATGTTAATATATAGTCAACTGCCTGTTTGAACCATCCTCTACATTTCATCACATTGGTTTCGAAATTTCCAGCTTGCAAAAACACAGATGAGTGACTTGTTTTTGACTTATCTTCTGCAAGAACATTCTGACAATACAAGAACTTAGAATTATTAGAATTGATTGTCAAAAAGTACTGCGCTAGAAATTAACAAATAAGCACAATTTTACAATAAGTTAAACAAGAACCTCTCGCAAAATGGAAAAATGGAGTTCATGTGTAGCCAAAGCGAGCATAATAAGGTCTGCATCCTACAAACAAGAGCAGATAATGTAAGAAACTCTTATAAAGTCTAGAAATTAACAAATAAGCATAATCTAATCTGGGATGGAAATCCTCAAAGGCTGCAAAAAAGACGACTAATTTTTTACAAACAAGTGATTGTCTAGGAGCAGAAACTCTTATAAAGTCGATTAAAAAGTCAAGAATTACTGAAGAAGCCATGATGTAGACATTTCAACCTTTTTATCTCGTTTTTTCATGTGGTGTTAACTTATAAGTTTTTTACTGATGGCGTACGCCAAATTTGATGCAGGTTAAAAAGTCGATTACTGTGGGTGTAGTTGGCTTGCCTAATGTAGGCAAGAGCAGTCTAATTAATAGCTTGAAAAGATGTCATGTTGCCAATGTTGGGGCTACACCAGGTCTAACAAGAACAATGCAAGAAGTTCAATTAGACAAGAATATCAAATTGTTGGATTGTCCTGGTGTTGTGATGATTAAATCTGGGGAGAATGAAGCTGCTGTAGCTCTTCGGAATTGCATGAAAATTGAGAAACTAGATGAATCAAGCCCTAACTCAAGTTCTAATTCTAAGTGTCTATTCTTATATAGATGCAATCGATGGTAGCCCTAACACAATAACCAGAAAGTTTCAAGGTAAATTAAACCCTAACGAAGTATATTGTGAAATTGAACTAAAACTAACCTAAGAGGGATGAGATTTACCTGAACCGGAAGGTAAATTAAACCCTAACGAAGGTAAATTAAGAATACTTTCAGATTTAAAGATGTGGAGGTTGCCGGAATCGGGTGAGTAGTGTCGTCATCTGTTCGAACAGAGATGGTGAGATAAAGCAGAACCGGAACAGAGATGAAGGGAACTTACTCCAGAGTCAAGAGTGATAAAGCTGGAGGGAAGGAAAGTTACACCATCTTCGTGAAGATGGAACTGGGTTGTGCTAGTTTCAGCGCGAGAGATTGGCGATAGAAAAAACAAAACGCGTGTATCCCAAATTTTGTTTCCGTCGTCGTTCTCTCGCTAAACGGGTACCAGATGGCACATTTTTTTATCCCTCGTTGAACCCTAGCTAAGCGCCTTCATTTTTCGAGTGATTAGCGAGGAATAGTGGTGCATCGTTAAATCCTTGCGAGATCCGTAGCTGATCCCTGGGTAAATCCTCACTAATATTCCATATGTTAAATAAATAAAATATTTATCAAAAACATGGTAGATCTGTCGTATTTCCCTAGCTATAAGTCTAAATTTTGCTAGAGAATAACTCCGTAGCAAAATCCGTAGCTGAAACTCAAGTTTCTAGTAGTGTATGTATGATGAGAAGAATCAGACCTAGTGCTACAGTGAACAGAAAGAATGATTGAACCACTGTCCCACACCTAAGTCTCGCTCTCTCAAACACACACTTACATACAAAAAAAATCCATAATTACCTCAGTGCAAGCAAAGACCAAATGCAAAGTTCAGACCCACTGGCTAACCCCCAATTTATTGATTAATCGACCACCACAAATAAAGAGCGTTCAATTTTGAAAAGATATAAGATAAAAGAAATGGAGATGTTGCCATGTAGGGGAACGTTTTGAGAGATAAAGAGAGACGTCACCACGAAAACTCTACGAACTAAAACACCGATATCTAGTTTTTATCATGAAAAAACCGGTAAGCTTCAGGATTTTTTAGAAATTATGGAGGAGTGAGGATAGAAGAACGAAAGCATTAGGAAGAGAAAAGAACTAAAACATACTGTAGTTACATTAGGGCTTGTAAATTTCAACAATCGTCGTAGCCTCTGATGAGATCAGATGAGCCCAAGGTGGCCGACGAGGAGAAGTTCCCTAAAGGTCGCCGGAGGAAAAGTGACTAAAGAGGTTGCCGGCAAGACGAAGAGAGTCTAGGTGAATCGTCGTGGAAAGCTTACATTATTTTTAGGACACACAAAAAATGTGTATCCTAAATCAACGTGTGTCATTGTTTGCGCGTCATTAAAGGGTATTTTTCTAGTAGTGAACCCTCCTACGAAAACATTTCCAAAGGATTTTTGAGGAACATTCCGAGAAAAGTCACTTGTAGGAAGTATCAATGACTTTCCTACACACGCGTAGGAGGGTTTTTTTGATAATGTTGTCATTGTTGCTAAAACTATTATAGACTTGATTAGTTTTCAAATAAGACTAATAAGTTTTAAACATAATTATGATATTCAGTTGTGTTTACTTTAAAAATACATTTTTCCCGTTATTAACGTTTGTTGACCTTCATTTCTATACACTTCTTCTTTATTTTATAAATACACTTCTTCTTTATTTAGACATCTCCATGCAAAGTTGTTTTTTTTTTCAATTTTTTTGTCGTTACCACTAAAATTATTAATTATTTATTTTCCAATATTGTTTCTGTTACTTAAAAAATATCCATGAATGAAGTCGAGACAATCTTTATTGGTTTTCAAAATTCCAATAGGACAGGGATGTGTAACTTACTAAATAGGTTATATGTGATAATGAAATCAATGCAGAATATTCCTATGATATGATTTGAAAAAAAATATCATGATACAAATGATTTTGGAAAGTTTAGTATAATCATTCATTTCTATTTTCTTCAAATTTTCTTTTTTAAAATAACTACCAAGTATACAAGTTATAACCATATGTAGACCACATTTGTGTTTTATTTAAAAGAACAGCCAAGTATACAATCACTGAACAATCTATCATATTTTTGCCATGGTAAGTGTGTCCGAAGTTTTCGAAGTAGCAAGTGCAACATACGAATTTTTATATCAACTTAAATAAACTATAAATGATGTGTTACATGTAGTATTATTTAAATACTTACCTCCCACTGGCCGAGTTCTCCTACAACAATAGTTACCATGTCAGTATTGACCGACCACTATTTGAGATGTTGTATGGAAGAAGGTGCAGGACCCCGGTTTGCTGGGGGGGGGGAGGTCGGGAATTAAGTCACGAGTAGTACAGAGGTTGTAGTAAAAACTAGTTATTTGATTCAATAGGTGCGCGACAGGTTGCGGATCGCGCAAAGCCGGCAAAAGAGTTATGCAGATCAGCGACATTCGAATCTTGAGTTTCAGGTGGGAGACTTGGTGCAGTTGAAGGCGTCACCTTGGAAAGGTGTCATTCGATTATGGAAGTGGGGTAATCTAGGCCCCAAATTCATTGGACCTTTTAGAATTTCATCACGGGTGGGCAAGCTCGCATATCGGCTGGATTTGCCCAATGAGCTCATCCATATTCGTAACACCTTCCATGTGTCTCAGCTTCAGAAATGTGTGGCCGATGAGTCCGCAGTTGTTCCTCTGGATGACATTCAGGTTGATGATCGCCTGAATTATGTGAAGAGACCGATGACGATCTTAGATCAGAAGACGAAGGCTCAACGCAACAAGGAAGTGTCACTGGTCAAGGTCTAGTGGCAACGTCGTAAGGGTTCCGAGTGGATGTGGGAGCCTGAGGCGGAGATATGAGAGCACTACCCAGATTTATTCGCGACAACAGACTTTGAGGACAAAGTCTACTTCAAGTGGGGGAGAGTTGTAACAACTATTTTTCAGGAATTCGTTTTAACCCTTGAGTTGTGCCTTAATTGCAAGTTTAGTCCCCAATGGCAATTTTGTAATTTTTGGAGTCAGTTGGTGTACGTAGGGCATAGACCTTCGTACACAGAGCGTACTTTGGATCGCATTAGTACGTTGCGCGTATGTTGGTACGTCGGGCGTACACAGCCAGGGTGCAAACCCTAAATTTTAGGGTTTGGACCCTATATGAACACATTCATGACCACATGTACCTTCTTATCTTCAGCCTCCCTCCTCATTTCGAAATCCTAAAGAGTGTTTGTACATTGTGAAGCTTGTTGAACCATTTTTGGTGCCATTTGGAGCTTTTGGAGTAGAAGGAAGAGCATTGAGGTGGTGGTGTTTCACTCAAGGCTTCGGATATAACATCTTGTCCCCCTTGTGTACCTTGTGGATGTAAAAAGCTTTAACCTTGGTGTAGAATTCTTATGGATCTAGTTTTAGCTCAAAGTTGTTCTCTTTTTGGTCCCAAACTTGGTCTTTGTGAGTAGAAGGTACTCCTTTGAGTTGTCCTTTCAGAGGTTTTGATGGATGTTAAGTCATAAAGTTGGATTTTTGGTAACTAGTTTCTCTCCATGCAAGTGCTAGATGGTCGTAATGGGTTAAGAGACTAGGTTGTATGGAGTTAAGGACTTCATAGTCATGCTAGACCATAAAGTTGGAAACTTTATGGTTAAGAACGTCTTTTGTTGCCCAGATTTGATGTTTGGACGTAAGGGCCTAAAGGATTAAGCACTTAATAAGAGGGGTAGTGAGCAGCCGCGTGTGTTGGGCATACCGAGGGCTACACTGCACGTACGAGGTCAGTTCCCCGATCCTCAATCAACTGCGAAGTATGCCCCACGTACACAAGGAGTACGCCCCGCGTACTGGCTGAGTCAAATCGTTTGACTTAGTTGACTTTGACCTGGATTTTGACTAGGGTTTAGCCTATGGGTATTTTAGGTATTTGAATGGTAGTTTTGATTTTTTGTTATTGTTATTCGTCAATGTGACTAGTAGCGTGGGGTTCAGAGCAGCGTATCATTTCAGTTTTTTGTCTATCTGTGAGGTGAGTCTTTCTTACCACCATAATTGGGTCGAAGGCACCAAGGCCGACCCGCTTTTTGGATAAGTAGAAACTATATGCTATTGTATGATTTTGTATGATGTGATTGTATGGTTTATGTATTGAGCTAGTTTGGGCTCAGAGTCACTACGGACTCGGGGTTGATACGGACCTGGGGGTTGATTCAGACCCGACACAAATACTTCCTGTTATTTTGGGTTGATACAGACTTGGGGGTTGATACGGACCTGACACAGCCACGTGCTGTTATATTATATGTATGTTGTATGTGGTAATTTGGGAAGCTCACTAAGCTTTATGCTTACAATTTATGCATATAGTTTCAGGTACTTCTAGTTCAAAAGAAAAGGGCCCTGCGTGATGGCACAACATCCTCCCCATATGATTTTCGCACTTGATGTATTTATACTCTGATGTTTTGGAATACTGTAATGAATGATGGCTTTTGGTACAATCAATGAATGAAAATTAATGGTTTTTAAATGAAAAATTTTAGTACTGTTTTTGGGTCGTTTCAAGTCACCACTGTTTGCTTCACCTAAAATCGGAGCATCATCACTCGAAGGCTAAACATGACACCTTAAGCAAAGAATGGTTGAAAACCCAGCATCTCCTTTCTTCATGTTATAGGATGTAGACGTTTCATCAAAAACAACCGAGATCAACTTACAAAGTTTCAACCAAAGGTAGAAGAAGTTATATTTCTGACTACTCATCGAAGTCAAAAGCCTATTGAGTTCTTAACTGGCGTACTAGAATCATTGAAGAAAGCTTTGATGTGAGTTTTAAAAACAAATTCATTCGAAATTCGGAACCAAACTCATTTCACAACGCACATCATGGAGTCTAATGCTCAACCTCCTAGTTCTCCGAATTTCGAAGTGATTTATGAAGTTGATTTTGAAAGTGTTTTTAGACCACTAGAAACTGCAATGGACTCTGAAGTCTGATCAAGATCACTTCCAACTCCGACTCCACCGGTCTCTCGACCATTATCTAGTATGAATCAAATTGTTTCAACCTTCTCAGGTTAGGGGAGAATGTCTCTATTTCCATTCCTCAAGGCCAGGGAAGCAGTCCAAACCATGAATTAAACACTGAAGGATTTCAATATGCAACATACCAATTTGCTGAAATTGATCCCATTCCAAACAACGAAGATGATGCGGACTTCTTTGATTTTCCCTCGGAAGATGCAGAAATAGCTGGTTCAGAAGTTCAGGGGGAGCGTCATCCCCAAAATAAAAAAATCCAGGGGGGAGCAATACAATCCCATCATTGACGTGGGATCACCATCACCACAAGAACTTTCTCGACTGGATGTCTGGATGAAGGATCACTCTCCAAACCAAGTGGTCAGAAACTTGAACGTCGGAGTATAAACTCGCTCTGCTACCTATATTCAAAATGAATGTCACTTCTTTACATTTATCTCATTTGTTGAACCGAAAGACATCAAAGAAACGTTAGACCATTTCTATTGGATAACCGCTATGCAAGAAGAGCTTGTTGAGTTTTATAGAAACCAAGTTTGGACTCTTGTGTATCCTCATTCAGATCAACTAATCGTCGAAGCTCGATGGATTTACCGAAACAACTAGATGACGCAGGAGTAATCAGCAGAAACAGAGCGGGATTGGTGGGTAAAGGATTCACACAGATTGAAGGTCTATATTACGATAAGACTTTCACTCCTGGTTCTCATCTAGAAGCCATTCATATCTTTCTCACTTATCCTGCTCATAAGGCCTTTTAAGTCTACCAGATGGATGTCAAAAGTGCCTTCCTCAATAGTGAACTTAATGAAGAAGTTTATAGTCATTAGCCTCTACATTTTGTAAATCTAGCTTTTCCAAGCTACCACTACAAACTGCAGAAAGTTGTCTATTGTCTGAATCAAGATCCTTGCGCTTGGTATGAAACTCTCACTTGCTTTCTGAAACGATATGATTTTCAAATTGGATTTCTTGATCCTACATTGTTCCGAAGAACCAATGGAAAGCATATTATGCTGGTTCAAATATATGTTGATGATATCATCTTCGGATCAACATACGCCACAATGGTTGCTGACTTTGCTAAGTTAATGGTTAGCCGATTCCAAATGAGCATGAATCGTGAATTGAGTTTCTTCCTTGGATTACAAATCAAACAAACAAACCGAGGAATATTCATTCACCAAGAGAAATACATTTCTGAACTTTTGAAGAAGTATTAAATGAACACCTATGCCTATGCCAAGGTACCCATGGGTTTCAAACACAAAATCTTCTCCGATCTAATTGGTGACGCCGTTGATTAGAATAAGCATAGGGAAATGATCGGATCGTTGCTATACCTAACTGCAAGTCGCCCCGACAGCATGTTTGCAACATGTTTGTTTGTGAGGTTCTAGGCTAATCCAAAAATGTCTCACCTCATGGCGGCGAAACAAATTTTCTGATATCTCAAGGGAACGAAGAGCCTCAAAATCTGGTACCCTGCAAATGATAACTTTATGTTACATGTATACTCTGACTCGAACTATGGAAGACTTCAACTTGATCGGAAGAGCACCTCTGGAGGATGTCAGTTCCTCGGAGGAAAACTAGTTAGCTGATCATCCAAGAAGCATAATTGTTTTGTACTCTCAACAACCGAAGCTGAATATATTGTCGCTGCCAGCTATTCATCTCAAGTTCTCTGGATGAAGCGGGTAGACTATGGTTTCTGATTCACATAGATTCCGATCTAATGTGAGTCACAAAGTGCTATCTCCATTTCTCATAATCCGATCCAACACTCCATGACCGAACACATAGACATTCAGTACCATTTTCATAAAAGATAACGTTCTAAATGGTAACATTAAACTGATTTGTGTTCCTACTGATGATGAAATTGTTGATGTCTTCATTATAGCATTAGAAGAAGCCAAATTTAATGGTTTCTTGAACAAGATGGGAATGATGTTGCCTGATCCACAATTCTTCAAGGAGGTTTTCACTCTCCGATGGAAACATCGGAAATTCAAATAGTTCTAAGCTTAAGCTATTAATCACAGTAGAAACGCTCTATCTCGAACAATAAAGGATCTTTACATGTTTTTTTGTCTAACCTTTCATCTAGTTTTAGCTCTTTCACGAAAATAAAGGATATTTACATGTCTTTTTGTCTACCCCTTTTGAATAAACAAACATCTCATCACACAGGTTAATTGTTACAAAGGAAGGTAATTATGTACCCCGCATTTAATGCGACCTATTTCGGGTTTGGTGTCATTATTGCTTTTCCGACCCGACCCGAAATAATCCCTTACTATAAAAGGATTTTGAATCGTAACTGTTCCTTCTTTACGCTATCATTGTCTTAAAGCCCTAGAATTTCCATCTGTGCTCTGTAAATCTTCAAAAGATTCCAAACTCTAAAATGGCTTCCAAATCGACAAAATCCAATCAATGGCCTCGAAGCCAAAAAAATCTCCTTCAAAGAAGAAGTCATCAAAGGGCACTGTTGAGTCTTCTTCCTCAAAACCGATTCTCAGGAAGACAACACAGTTGTTTTCCTTGGATCCCATGGATTATGACAAATTCGTTTGCGTCATGATCGGGTTCATCTCCATCCACCCTATTTCGAATCCTCTAACCAAAGAACCCGATCCAAAATTCGCTCTCAAATTGGTTACCAAAGTAATAGAAAGGATTAGGTGTTCCAAAGGGGCTATTGAAGTCTACATGACTGAAGACATGATTGTTCCTGTTACAAAGGAGTTATTCCTTCGAGCCATTGGAATTCCTCCCAATTCGGAAGGATCTGTCGTCGTAGAGCCTACTGCTGCCGCTGAGTTTCAAGGTTTTCCAAATCAAATTGGGATTTTTTTTCATAAAATAGGATAAAATATTAGGGATTTTCTGGAGATTTCCCTTTATTATATAGTATTTATTAAATCTGGAGTGCACGAGTTAATCGAAAAGTCAATAGGGATAAGACATTCATTATCAAGTCAATGAATATTCCACGTTTGTCATTCCCAAGCCAAAATCATATTCATCTCAAGTCTATATTTCGGGCTTGTGATGTGTTGATTAAGTTTTTGACATCTAATATGAAAAGTTGTTTATTTAAAATGTATCACATTATAAAAACAATGAAATTTAAAATTTCTTGAAATATTTAGATATGTTGGACTGGGCTGGATATGAACCAATAAGTCAATAACAGGGGACCTAATTTGGGCTTCACTCCGTTCAAATTAAAACCCGTAGTTTTGTCGACGAATTTCGCGACTGCTGGTCGCTGCTGTTTATCGTCTAGATAACCGTATCAAATGTTCAAAGCCAGGTAAAACCCATTGTCTGTTGCTTTCTCTTGAGTCTTGATTTCCAGCCCTTGTTTGTATATATGTACTCTGTTATCTCCGCATTTCTTTGTCATACATATGAATTTGATCAGTTCAGAGTATCTTTTACTTTTTATTCTGAAATTGATTTTGTGGGATTTGCAGACTCTAACCGTTGGTTTTTCCCTTTTACCTCCTTAGTTAGCTATCAACTTATTGGGAAACTAACTGAGTCGATCAGTCATTGCAAGTGTTTGATTGAATTCCTAAACCAGCACATACTCTTTCGAGTTCCCAGTTGTTCTGCTTTTTATACTTACCAGGTTCCATGATTACGACCCATTTTGCAAAAACCAATTTGTTCCAAAACAAGAATCCCATCTAGTGGAAAATGATAACCCTCAAAATTACCATTTAATGTATACTTAAGAGGGGTAAGGGCATATGATAAGGAAAAAGCCCAGCCCACAGTGAGTGAGCCCAAAGAGTCCAATGTTTGGAGGGTGTACAGAAGGAGACAAAAAGGATAGTTGCATGGGGTTGCCACCAAATAGTCCGTATGACAGAAGAGAGAGAAAGAATTATATAATTAGGCTCAGGAACAGTATTTATCTCTTATACAATTACTGCTAATTTTCTTTCTGGTTTATGATTTTGAGATAATTGTTGGTAAGATAAGTATAATTAAAGTATCTAGCATGCAAGAGAATGATAAGTAACATCAAGATTAAAATAACAAGCCTCCAGACTAAGGTTTGTGGGAGGGAGACAGAGCTGAAATTGTGTTACCTTAAATCACAAAATCTCATTAATCGAAATGAAGTGTGTTTGGATGATGTTGACTTTATTTCAAATTAGCTAGAACTACATTAAACCTTATTTTTATGTTCTCAATAAAAACAATTTTGGCTTGTCTAGGATTTTCATGGTTTGACTGGGTACTTATTCCGTCGTCCATCTAGTAAAAATTTGAACTTGTTTACATGATATGAATTAATGTTTTTATATTTAGCTTAAAAATAACAAGCCTTCGATCAGACTAAGGTGTGTGATGATGCATATGCTTATCTCTTGTTTGTGAATCTTGTATTTTATGTTGAATTTGAATATTTATTGTTTTGTTTGCAACCGTAGGAATGGCCAAGACAAGGAGTATGATAGAAAACAGAATCATGATGATGCATCTGCACCTGCACCTACCAAGAAGAGATTTTATGAGAAGGGTTATTCAGCAGCAGCTTGGTCAGATCTTAACCATGATGTTCTTTTTTTGATTATGATGAAAATGGGAATCGTTGATTTTATTTGGTTTAGTGGAGTTTGCAAGTCATGGAGATCAATCGCACTCTCCAACCGGAACATGTTTATGGCATCCAGACCCCCTGTTTTGATAAGGATCACTGATCGACCATATGAGAAGAAAGAGTGGTACTTAGAGTTAGAAGAGTCTGAAGGAAGAAAGTTCAAAACTTTCATTCCCCATTCTGGTGGTGGCAGGACCTTTCTTGGGTCAACTCGTGGCTACTTAGTATTTTTTGTGTGGAAAACATGTGATTTCTGGCTTGTGAATCCTATCACAAGGCATGAACTTCATTTTCCTGATCACCCCTTGATTGCAATTTCCCGGCCAACAGGCTTGAAGGCTATCCTTGTCTTTTCCCCTTCAGACACAGTAGTATCTGAGTGGGTGCTTGTGGTTTCAAAAAGATTCTGCGATTCAATATGGTTTTCTGTAGCCGGTAGTCGATCCTGGACTGAGCTTAATGTCCCCTCCATTACTTCTGTCATACATGATCTACATTTCTTCAAGGAGAAGATATATGTCTTATTCAGTTGTTCTTTATATGTGTTACAACTCTATCCAAACCCCAAATTTACATTACTCCAGACCAACAATTTTCAATGTTCATGCTTCTGGGGGGAGTTTGTAAGTACAGCTGCAAACTTGTATGTGATGATTAATTTGGACTGGCTTCACAAACTAGATTTTGATGAAATGAAGTGGGTGCGCTGTGAAAAGGTTGATGAACATGCAGCTGTTAAACTTGGGATTTGGGCTAACATTTGGTCAATGTGGTACTTTCCGCATGATTGTTTAAATGTTAATCTCATACACCATGAGCCATAGACGTATGTATGACAAGTCAAACTGGATTTTTATTTGAAACATTTCAACATTTTGTGATCTGATGGTGGATTTGAATTTTGCAGTTTATTGTTTAAATACATGATTCTTGAGGTGGCATAACTTTAACAATATCATCTTGTTTTCATGTGATTTTTTGTCTTTCGCTTTTGTATGTGTTTCTATTACATGATTGGTTAGTTTTGTGGGATTCAAGTTAGAAGCTCTATAGTTAATGAAAAGCTTGAAGACATAAGTGATGAAATCAAACAAAGGCAATCTGTCAAATATTGATTTTATTCAGCTGAAGAGACCTCAGTAAAGGAAATATCAGAAATTGTATCAGTTTTGAGATAAAACAAATAATTAAGTGTGAAACGGTAAAAGGATATTAAGCAATAATATAAAAATCGGGGTTTAAAAGAAAAACATTCAAAGCAGAGGACTAACGTGTAATTTGTTAAACTGTCAAAATATAAAATCGAATTTGGTAAACTCTTTCATATATGTTTTGGTGAAGGCAGGTGTAAGGCAGCATACATCGGCAATTGGAAGTCAGCAATCGTTATATTTTTGTATCTGTGCTACTGTAATCCTTCATCTAGGTCGGTTTGAGCAAGGTATGTGCCTTAATCTGATGTATTATTTTGATTTTGATCGAATTGATGATAAAGTATATTTTTTTATTAAGATATAACCATATTCAAGCTTCGGAATCAACCCAAAAGAGATTAGAATCAAGCTGAATGATTGACGTAGAATTCGATAGATTTTTGGAATTCTTCGTCATATGGGTTATTGTTGATTTTAGTGGAGAAATTGATGTTAGTGAAACTAATTAAACACATCGTAGGTGTTAAGGTTCATGATATTTTTTAGAAGCATGAAAGAAAAAGCAGTAAACACCTTGACACAGAATTCCCAACAAGAATTTTATAAAGTATTTGTATACAACAGAAATTGTTAGATATATATATTTTAATTGATATAATCCATCTTAGTATATCATCTTTAGCCTCCAGGATGACGATTGTTACATTTGAAATTGAAATCAGTGAGTTTAACATAGTAATGAAAAACAGAGACAACTTCATTGGTATCCTGAATTTGGGAAAAGCACACTCACACTCATACAAAATAATCCAATCTGATGCATCTCATATTCATCATTTTTCTTTTAAAACTCATATTGACACAACCCAAAGTCCATGATCATGCCACCAAAAACAAAAAACTTAAACAGTGGAAATCTTACTAAATTATGTCACTAACCTTACATCAACATAATCTTTGACTTGTAATAAACATACTCAACGGTAAAACAGACTAAAATCCCTTGAATGCCTGCTGCACCTTCTCCTTGCTCTTCGAACATGAAGCTATGATACTCCTGAGATACATGCTAATGTGAGCTTTATGTTGGTAATTCATGGTTTACTACAAATAGAAAATACCACACCCATGGTCGTAAAATGTGTTTTTCAGAAAACTATATATAACACATTCAAAACAAATATAGCTATGAAAAACGTCATGACAAATGTACCATAAACAAATATCATGTTTTAAACATAGACCGACATCACATAACCGAGCAAAAACATCCAAGTTAAAGTAAAAAAAAAAAAAAAAAAAAAAAAAAAACTCTTTTGTATTTTGAAATTAAAGTATGTTAATAATACCTTCTATGCGAAGATGCATATTTTGCTTAACATATAATTTGATTAAATTTTTTGATAAATGATGAAAAACTAAGAGTAATTGTTAATAAGAAAAAGTTGAGAAACATATGTATTACAGTATTATATATTTGTAGATACAATACATAAAATATTTTCAATTTTGTTGAGGGGTAGAGACCACATAAATATAATAAATTATTATCTTGGAAGTTGTAATGTAAGATAACCGAATTTTTGTACCTTGGTTTCTCTTTGTGTTACAAAGTGGCCTTACCCATCTGTCTTTCCTCTTTGTGAACCGATCACTACACCTTTTATATAGAAGATTTCCAATAACAACCCCAACAACCAGCCCACTTCCAACTCCACAAAATATGATGATCCAATCAATTCTTTCACTTGGGAAGAGAAACTCTGACGCATTGCTTGCTGGTGGACGTCTTGACGCTTTTGAACCTTGACATTTCATGGATAAAGGTTTTCCGCATAATCCAGGATTCCCCTTGTAGGAATCATTCTCAAATGTATTAAATTGTTGCCCTGTGGGTATGCGCCCACCAAGATGGTTGAATGACACATTGAAAATGGAAAGGAAGTTGAGTTGCACCAACTGTTGAGGAATTTCTCCAGATAACTTGTTTTGGGAGAGATCCATAGATTCAAGATTCTTTAGGTATCCCAAGGACTGCATGACTTGTCCAGTAAAATGATTGTTGGAAAGATTGAGTGATTGAAGCCCTTGAAGATCTTGGAGTGATTGCGGGATTTCTCCTACAAAATGGTTACAAGAGAGATCAATAGCCGTGAAAATGGTTAAAATCTTTTCAAACCTTGTTCTGACACCTTTATGTACTATTGTCATCTAGTATACCGAGTTTATACTGAATGATTTGAAGGACATATTGGTTTCCATAACATATGATTTGCCATCATAAACGGATTTCATGGAATCCCATGTTTGGAAGTATTTATGGTGCAAATGACCACTAAAAGCATTGTTAGAGAGGTCTATGATCCGCAACTTAGGGAACTGTTGCCACACAGTTGCGGAACCTTGAAGTGCACCAGAAAATTTGTTGGACCGCAAAACCAGAACTTGTAGATTGGAAAGGGTTCCCAACCAAGAAGGAAATACATCATCAAAAAGGTTATCTCCAAGAGAGAGAACCTCTAAATTTGTACAATTTATCAATGACCTTGGCAGCTGACCCGTAAATTGATTTTCGCTCAAATCAATACTTCTCAAAGGGCTTCCTAGCATAAACGCATTCATCATTGTACCATCAAAGTTATTTCGTCTCAGATCCAAAACCAACAGAGAATTGCTTAAGTTACCCAAACATGGAGGTAGAGTTCCACTCATGTTGTTAGAAGACAAATCTAACAGTTGAATAGATTTCACTTCACATATCAATTCTGGTATTTCTCCTGTCAAATAATTGTTTGGGGCTGAATAAACAGTTGTGGTTTGTGGTGGAATTGGTAGTTGTCCTCCTATGTGATTATTACCGATGAAAAAACCTTCCAAAAATCGCCATGGTAGAAAATGTGGATGTTTATGAAAGCCAGTGATGGAGTTATCTGAAACATCAAACTGTTGTAATGTTTCTTGGCTGTTGTTCCAAATCCACACTGGTATCAGGCCATCAAGTTTGTTGAAGCCGAAAAATAAGGCTGTCATTTTATTTTGAAAGCGCAAAAAGGCTGGAAACTCCTTCAAGTTACATGATTGTAGGTCTAAGACTTTTAAATGTGGTAAGGTGGTATTGGTGTAGTTGTTGGTGACCACTAATGATATGTTGTTATCACTTAAGTAAAGAGTTTCGAGGTTGTTGAGTCCTAGGAATATGCCTAGATCTACCCTACCACAGAAATTATTCATACGTAGGCCAAGATATTGAAGACTTTCGAAGTTGGAAAATGACCTTGAAATTGGTCCTTGCAATTGATTATACTTAAGGTTTAACCTTCTTAGTTGGGTGAGGTTGAAAAACGAGGATGGTATATGCCCAATAAGTGAATTTCTTTCGATTGAAACAACACCAAGTTTGGTTAGGTTTGCAAGAAAGTGTGGGATTTCACAGTTTATGCTCATATTAGCTAGATATAGTTCACTAAGTTTAGTCAGTTTGCCAAGCCAATTAGGGAAGCAACCATTCTTGAATTTGTTACCATCAAGTTGCAAAACATGGAGTCCGGAAAGACCAACCAATGAAGGAACAAAGCCAGTGAACTTATTGCTACCAAGACCCAATGTAGTGAGCCGGGTCATGTTATTGAGTGAACTTGGAATGCGCCCTAAGAAACCAGTGAAAGATAGATTCACATGTTCAAGTAAACTGTTGTTATAAAATTCAGGTAAAGATCCGGTGAGGTTGGTATTGGACGCCACGTCAAGAATTTTCAACTTTGGTAGCCCAAGAATAGTGGAAGGGAATTCATTCCAAAGCGAACAATCAGATAACCTTATTGACCTCAAAGAAGAAAAGTTGGCCAAGAAATGAGGCACAAAAGAACTAATGTCAACCCCGGAGAGATCGAGTTCTTTGAGTCCTGTTATGTTTTGCAGTAGTTTCTTGAGGCCACTAGGACTTTCAAGCTTTAGTGGATTCCTTGAAAGATCTAAAGAAAACAATTGCACCAACTGCGACATTTCATTCGGTATTTGGCCACTAAACCCAGAATCAGAGAGATTGAGGCTTCTTAATTGCTTTAGACGACCAATCTCAGATGGTATTTCAGATTCATCAAAGTCATTCATGGCAAGGTTGAGGCTTTGAAGATGCACAAGGCTGAAGAGCTTGCTGCTAGAGCTGATATGCCCACAAAGAAACCTTTCGCTCAAGTCAAGGGCAACCACATGACGGTACTCATGGTCGTTGCTGCACTCCACCCCATACCACACACAACAATCAAAACCAGCATCTGACGATGGATTGCTTGTGGGTTTCCAAGAGTCAAATGTCTGAAACCAACTGGCAGCACAAGCCGCATCATCTTGATGAATTATGCTTTGCTTAAACTGAAACAAGGCTGAGCATTCTTCATCATGGCTTACCGATGATCCAGCGCATGTGACTGTGACCATTACATAAAGAAGGGTGATGATTTGCAACATGTTGAAGTGATTCAAGTATGGAGCCATAAAAAAGGGGTATATATAATATTATATTTGTTTGTAGACATGAGATGTATCATAAAGACGATGTCTTTGTTTAACATTCAGCCATATAACTAGATAAGAAATGAAAGATCTAGATACATAGATGAAGAGGGAAAAATAAAAGGTAGATAAAGAATCAGCTAATAGAGCCAAAATAGTATGACTTTGACTAAAAACCATTGACTAAGTATAACAAAACAACAAAATATCCTTCAAACGATTAAACTTTCTTGGTTTGTATGCCTAGGCTCATTTAGGGTAGTCAAATGAAGTACCTTTCAAGTTCAGTTTACGTGATCTTTTGGTTTAGATCGAGCAACTTTTATATTTAAAACTTTGACAAGATTTTCATTGGTGCAACGTGAACTAATCATTGGTCCTTTTATATATATATATATATATATATATATATATATATATATATATATATATATATATATATATATATATATATATATATATATTCTGCCCCCTTTTTTGGTATTTTCAAGGAAGAGCAACATTCTACTATTTGCAATTTAACGATTAAATGTAGCAAGAACATCTGGCCAAAGCCCTACTTCTTGATTCTTTACTTGAACTGTCCCTATGCTTTTACTTTGTTTTGGTTCTCGTCCCAGACTAAGATAAAATGACTATTTTTCTAAAAAAATAAAAATTTATAATGTTTTATTATAAGTTTAATAAGCTAAATGGATCTCCATCCCCTCCACTTTTGCACACAATGGAATAGTGGAAATAGTTAAAAAGTGTAACGTGAAAGAAAACTAATAGAAAGTTGGAAATTTAAGTATTCAAGGACGCAATTTTAAAGTTTTGAATAGTTTTTGTTTTCACTGACTACTTTAAATTTATTATTCCCACAAATATGACCATTTGATGTTGTTCTAAAAAACGTGCCCCTTTAATTATTGAAGATCATCACTAGCCCAATGGAGATTAGCCTAATAGAATGAATGTTAGTGTCTAGAAGACGTTAGCTTGTTCTAGAATAGTCTGGAAAATTCTAGAATATTATCGAATACTATGGAGGAGTCTAGAAGACGCCGGAAGACTCTAGACTACTCTAGAAAAATATGGAAGACCGTGGAAGTTTATGGAACATTCTAGAAGACAATAGAATGTCATAGTCTTCTCTAGAACATGATTGAATGTTCTAGAAACATATGGAAGCTTATAGAGTATGATAGATAGTTCTAAAGTTATTTAGTGAGTAATAAGTGTAGTGTGGTATCTAGAAGCTTCCTAAGAGGCTTATCAATAGGTGTGCAGATCATTTGCTTCAAACCATCCGAGAAACACTTCAAAGAAAACAATGTTTGTAGTAGTTTCTCAAAGTGTAAGTTCTTCTTAAGTGGTCTTAATAAAAGTATTGTAAGTCCCCAATCTGCTTGTGTACCAATCAGATCCGTTTGATGGTGTGGAATCCCGATCAAACGGATGATACAAGATCTAATGAAGAATAACTTGAATCTATGATGTATTGAATGAATATGAATGAAGATCCTTACACAAGATTCAATTTCTCTCACTAGAACACACCTTGGAAAACACACACTTAAGCTTCTCTAGACCATACACTCTCTTCTGTTCATCAACCACTCCTCACCCCTAACACCTATATATATATATATATATATATATATATATATATATATATATATATATATATATATATATATATATATATACTTGGGGAACATGGGCCGTAAATGGGTTTATGGTCGTAAACACACATACAGCCGTAAACACCAAGCTGTTTATGGTCCTAGACTGAAAAATACATTTTCCTAGAAAAGCAAAGTATAAACCAATATTTTGACCCAACAATCTCCCCCGTGGTTTATAGCTTTATTTTCTAATTAACCCAACAAGCTCCCCCTAAAAAAGTAGCTGACTTTTCTTGTTAATCTTCATTGGGAGCTTGGCTTCAACATTAATCTTCAAATTCTTCACAACTTCAAGATGAACTTGTTAAATCTTCAATGAACGACTTCATCTCGAGCAGTTGGGCTTTTCTTCAAAATTTGACTCTGAACGCACATTGGGTGATGAGGCTTCTTGATAAGATTCTTGAAAGATAGTGCTTTCAGCATGAGAATCTTCAGAGAGAATAGAGAACGAAACTTCTGGATCACTTCAGCAGGTACAAGATAGCAGCAAATTGATTGAGGAGGCTTCAATGCAATCTGTCACATAATCTTCAAGTACAGCTTCACCTTGCTTCTGGGGTAGAAAAATTGAATGTTGAAAGAATAGTTTTCATTTCTGGCTCCTTCAAATGAGAATTCTTCGATGATTACGGATGAAGCCTTGGCTCAGAAAGTATCGATACAGTCTCCATGAGTCTCATATACACCTGAATTCACTTTTCAAGACAAAACAAAACTAAAAGAAAATTTAGCACACAAAACGGAAACAAAAATATTTTTGGATTTTTGATTTTTTCTGAACAAGAAATAAAACAGAAATAACACTATTTTTGGATTTTTCATTTTCTGATTTTTGTTTGATTTTTGAATTTTTTTTAATTCTCCCCCTTAAATTTTTTCATAGAGGAAAACTATGAACAAATTTAACAAAAACAAAAATATTAGCTAACTTTAAGAGTGATTTGGGATCAAAGTTTTTAAGCAATCCAATATCGTTTATCAGCACACGTCTGCATGTCTAGATCTGGCCAATCACCGGTATTGTGGTCCACTTAAATACAAAGGATGTTGACAATTTGGACAGATTATAAGTGACAAGTCATTGTGATATATATTCCTAAATGGACATTTAGCTGACGACAACCAAGGATATTGTTGTCCACTTAAATTAAGCAGCAAGATCTACAGACAACCTATTAAATGGTTCAATTTTAGATGTTGTAGAACATGTTTCCCACTTCCTGATATACCCCGGTAATCAAGAACTCCTTACTTTAGGTGAGTATTCAATCATTAAGAAAGAAGTCAGATATAGAAGTACATATGTGTTGGATTAGGTGTCTAAGCCCATAACTATAATTGGTATGTACTTGAATTGATAGCAGCACAGTCCTTTTGGGTTGCCCTCAACCTAGCAACTGGACAAGGAAATTATGAAAGGAGAGATATTAATTTATAAGATTAATGAATTAATATAAATGATTTATTAATATGTTAAAAGATTAATATATTAATAAGAAATCATTATGTTTAATTAATTGTTAACCAGAAATTAATCAGAATTGATTTTGGGGTTAAAAGAATTAATTATAAGGTACAGGGACTAGTTTGCAATTATCTAATAGTTGAGTGGAAGGCTCTAGAACCCCCTTGGAAGAGGGTGGACGAAATCTTTAGGGGAAACCCTAATAATTTCGTCCATAGGGGCTTGGATAAGGCCTTTGGGTTTGCTTAGGCCCTAAGCAAAGGATAACTAGGGTTTCCCTTAAACCCTAAATCCCTCAGCTATATAAGGAGCCTTCTGGTTCATGTTTTTGGTCACTCTTTCTTTTGAAGAAACCCTAAGGCCGAGATTTTGCATACTCCCTCTCCCCTCTCTCTTCTACTTTCCTTCTTGCTAGTCATTGGGTGTGATTCCATTAGAGGCATTACACTTGTGGTGCTAAAGCTTCCAAGAAGATCAAGATCAAGATCAAGGGAATATCAATTGTTTGCTATAACAATTGAAAGGTATGTAAACCCTAAACCCTAGTTTATTATTTTCGAAAATAGCCTCTCTCCTCTAGGGTTCTTGTTTTGCAATTCAAAGTTATATGTTCAATAGTTAAAACATAGATCCAAAGTAGGTTGCATGTGAACTTAGGAATTGTTTTTCTAGTTTATTTGTTTTACCTAAAACCCATCAGTGGTATCAGAGACATTGTTGTTTTAAATTGAATTGCTACAATTGTTGAATTGCAAATTAGGGTTTATAGCTATTAAACCCTAAAGGCCAAATTTTCGATTTCTAGGGTTTTGGATCAAAGGGTTTTTTCGAAAACCCTAGCCTCCAAAGAACCCTAATCGAAATTAGGGTTAGGGTTTTGAAAACCCTAGCCTCCTCCCTTGTAAATTTCGAAATTTGCTTAGAAGTTTTAGGGTTTCTTGTTTTGGATAATTGTTACTTAATTAGATTAATTGGATAATTATCCTTACCCTATTTTTCGAAATTTAGAGGGATAAGGATTAGGATTAAATTAATGGATTAATTTAATTAGATAATCCTTACAAGATTTAATAATTTGATTAATAGTTAATTAAAAGATAAATATTAAATCTAGTTAATTGGTTTATTTAAATTTAAATTTAATAGCTTAAATTTCGAAATTTATAAACCCTTGAAGTTTTAAAATGTTTTAAAACACACCTTATATATATATTATAATTAAAAGTTTAATATTATATATGTATAAGAATATGGTCAGTCAAATCGCTAGTATGCCTCATTCACGAAGCTAATCTATAAGGGGGGTATAAGGAAACTGCCTATAAAATGGTAGTTGAATGGGTGTCCACTCTCACCCACCGCTTCCTTGATTAGTGGAGGGTCGTTAGCAGAACGGATTTGATAGGACAACTACTTCTCATTAAAAGTATAATGATATTAAAGAAAGTACTAGAACATTATTTTCAAAATCCCAACTCTAGTTACTTTAGGAAAAATGTGAAAAGTATGCTAATCCATGAAATTGCACATTATGCTTTATTGGTCGTTAGTGGAGCGTGTGTGGTTAACCAGCACACTAAAAGGCACTAATAAAGAGTAGTAATGGGTATCTCATAATTGTCATTTTGATGGAGCGTGTGTGGTTTACCAGCACATCAATAGTTAATGATAAAGACAATGAGGTTACCAAGCACATTTGCATGGTTATTCACATCTTGTTTGTGATCCTCGGCATCCCAGTCACAAATAGAAGAGCATAATCTGAGATTAAAACATGCCATTGAATAGTTTCAATGTATCTCAAAAGAATTAGGAAT